TTCGTCGAAAGAAAAAATAGTATTAGACTTTTTTACTTTACTTACTATCAAGAATATATTATTATAATAGTGCCCTAACTTTTGTTAACTTATCGATCTTTGGAAATTTCAAAATTATTAAATTAACAAAAGTTAGGGCACCATTAATATATTCTTGATATTAAATAAAATAAAAAAGTCTAATACTATTTTTTCTTTCGACGAATAGTTAGCGAAATATCGTAAGTTAAATGTTGAAAAAGTTACCAAATTTTCCTTAAATATCTCAAAAAATATTAACCAAATAAAAAAATGTTTCAGACAAAAATTGTTCAAATTAATTGATAGAAAAAGAAAATATAATAAAAAATTCGGATTTCCATTTATGAAAATTGATTGTCAGTGAATATCTCAAAAGTGGCGCCATTTATAAACAAAATGCTATCGCTTTCTTCTTCTTCTTCAAGCCAAACAACATTTGTCTCAAACATTTTTTTATTTAACGCAGTGTTTCTAAAGCGTGGTCTACAATGGCCGTAAGCAATAAGAAGAAAGCGTGAATATTAAGAAATGGACCAACCACAGTTGATTATTTTTGTCATAATCGACTGTGATTGGTTTATTTCTTACCGCTTACGCTTACTTTTTATTGCTTACTGCCATTGTAGACCACGCTTAAGATATTTTTGCGAGATTTATGCCTAGGACATTAAGTATTTTTGCAATATTGCTGTGATATTTATGCAATATTTCAGTAATATTCCTGCAATATTGCAGCATTATTTAAGAAATATTGTAGCAACATTCCTGCACGATTGCAGTAATATTTGGCAATATTTTGCAATTTTTCTGTAGTATTGTGGCTATATTTCATAGGTATTCCTGCAAGATTGTGGCGATATTTCAACAACATTGTGGCAATAGTCCTGTGATATTGTGACAATATTCCTACAATATCATAACAATATTCCCGCAATATTTCTGCGAGATTTATGCCTAGGACATTAAATATTTCTGCAATATTATTGTCACATTTATGCAATATTTTAGTAATATTCTTGCAACATTTCTATAATATTCCTGCAATATTGCGGTGCAGTATGTGGGACATGAGCTCGCGCAATTGCTGAATGTTGATCAATCAACAATTTCTGTGCGTTTGGCAGCCATGGGAAAGATTTACAAAGAAGGAAGATGGGTGCCGTACGAACTGAAAGAAAGAGACATCGAGAGGTGAAAATCTATGTCTGAAATCTTACTTGCCAGGCAAAAAGAAAAGGTTTTTTGCATCATATTGTGACTGGAGACGAAAAGTGGATATACGAGTGCAGTCTGAAAAGTTCTCGGCTTAACAATGAAAGAAAATTATTTTGCCGTAAAATATGTTTTATTTTTCAATATAATCTCCTGAAACTTCAATACATTTATTTCAACGTCTTTCCAGTAATTCAATACCATCATTAAAGTGTGATTCCGGAAGATTCTTTTCGCTCTGGTGTATAGTGGTGAATTCAAGTTTCATCAACAATTATGAAACGACACTTGAAATCCATTTTATTTTGCTTAAAACGATTAAAATGTGCCAAACACGCTTGAAAAATACGCATTCGAATACGTTTTTGGTCAATTGTTTGCAAATGCGGCACCCATCTTGTACAAAGCTTTTTCAACTGGTGCTACTACTCGAATGACTTGACAGATCGAATAAAATTTTATATGGGTTTATATCAGGGATGCCACTTTCCAATACAATTATAGTTTGACAGTTTCTAATGCCATGTATGTGTCAGGTCGAGAACTTTTCAGACTGCCTATGTATTTCGATAATCTCAAACGAAGGAAATCCATTAGCGACCCAGGAAAACCATCCACATCGATACTAAAGCGGAATATTCACGGCAAGAAAATAATGCTCTGTATATGGTGGGACCAGAAGGGTGTAGTGTATCATGAACTATTAAAACAGAGCCAAACAATTACTGCCGAACTTTACCAACAACAATTGATCCGTTTAAACAACGCATTGAAGAATAAACGGCCGGAATATGCAAAGAGACACGACAAAGTGATCTTCCAGCACGATAACGCTCGGCCACATGCTAGAAAGATTGTGAAGGCCACCTTGGAAGCACTTGGCTGGGACATTTTACCTCACCTACCGCATTCACCAGACATTGCTCCATCCGATTATCACTTGTTCAGATCGATGGCACACGGGCTTTTGGACCAACACTTCAACAATTATGAAGAAATAGAGAAATGGCTCAATGAATGGATCGCTTCGAAGGACGAGTCGTTTTTCCGTCACGGAATGCAACAACTGCCAGACAGATGGAAAGAATAATAGCAAACGATGGCAAATACTTTGATTAATGTACTTTTTCATGTTTTTTTCATACTAAAGTCTTTTTAGGAAGAAAAAAACGGACTGAATTAATTCACATACCTAATATATCTAACAGACCAGGTCATCGGAGGTGGGTTCTCTAAATAGGAGTTTTACCATTTAATGATTTGAAGAGTACTTTACGAGTTCTCAGTTCTTAAAAAATATTAAGATTTTAAACATATCCTCACCATTTATCAATTTCTTTATAATTTAAAAATTTCGTTTTTATTAAATGAAAGGATATGTTATACTGAATAAAATCATGTATAATAATGTGTAAAATATTGCGTTAAGTAAAAAGTTTTGAGCGTTTTCCGCTAGATGGCTTTAGTGAGGTCATATCTCATGATGTATACGTCGCATCTGGTCATTCTATATTGCGACTTAAAGGTGACATAACGCTTTAAGAAAAGTTTTTTGACAGTTTTATGTTTGGTGAAGCTAGTTGTGTGTTAGAACGTTCCAAAATGGAGGTAAAAAAGAGAAAATTCGATACATTGTTCAGTACCACTACGACCAAAGGGAAAAAGCGGAGCAGGCGGCCAAAAAAATTTGTGCTGTTTATGGACCCAATACAGTATCGAATGCAACAGCAAAGCGGTGGTTCCAACGATTCCGTTCTGGTAATATGGACGTCGAAGATGAGACACGCTCTGGTAGGCCAATCGTCGAAAATGTCGATAAAATCATGGAAATCGTCGAGTCGGACCGGCATGCGAGCACTTATTCCATTGCCCAGGAACTGAAGATTAGCCAGAAAACCGTTTGGAACCATTTGCATAAGGCTGGTCTCAAAAAGAAGCTCGATGTATGGGTGCCACACGAATTGACGCAAAAGAACCTTTTGGACCGAATTCATGCCTGCGATTCTTTGCTGAAGCGTAATGAAATCGACCCATTTTTTAGGCGGATGGTGACTGGCGATGAAAAATGGGTTACATACGAGAACAACAGGCGAAAAAGATCGTGATCCAAACACGGTAAGCCTGTCCAAACGATCGCAAATCCGGATTAACGGCCAAGAAAGTTTTACTGTGTGTTTGGTGGGATTGGAAGGGAATCATCCACTATGAGCTGCTCCCATCGGGCCAATCACTCAATTCGGACCTACACTGTCAACAACTGACCAGATTGAAGCAGGCGATCGACGAGAAGCGGCCAGAATTGGCCAATAGGAAGGGTATTGTGTTCCATCAAGACAATGCTAGGCCGCACACATCTTTGACGACGCGCCAGAAGCTCCGAGAGCTTGGATGGGAGGTTATATCGCACCCGCCGTATAACCCAGACCTGGCTCCAAGCGATTATCACATTTTCAAGCATTTGCAAAATTTTCTTGATGGTACAAAACTGGCCTCAAGAGAGGCTTGTAAAAATGAGCTGGTCAAGTTTTTTACCAATAGGGACGAAGACTTCTCCAATCGCGGAATTATGAAATTGCCTTCAAAATGGACAAAAGTTATCGAACAAAACAGCGCATATTTGATCTAAATCCGATAATCCTAACTTTGTTAATTTCATCGTCGAAATAAAGAGAAAAACGCTCAGAACTTTTTACTTCACCCAATATTTTCTGACATACAAAGTTTTTGAAGAACAGACAAGAATACTATTACAAGGTGTTCTTATTCAATATACAGGGTGTCTCATAACAAATGTTGCAGAATTCGTGGAGACATAGAGCAGGTTAAGATAAACATAAAAGTCCCATACCGCTTTGCAAATTTCACAATAATTATCAAGTTATTAATGACAGAAGTCTGACGAGTGAGCACGCGCCGAAATGGATTGGAGAAGTGTCGCAGCCTTTCGGGGTGTCTGTGAAGTTAGCACGACGTTTTAATTAAAGAAAAACAATATTAGTTCCAGTAGCATTTTTTATAGTTCTATAGTTCCTGATAAAAAGAAAAAAAAATTCTGCATTTATAATACCAAAAAATCGAAAATGAAAATATGAACTAACTTCACGTTCCATCACGACACAGTCTCTTCTAAAGTACAAGAAGCAAATGCATAATATACTTTTCGACGAGAGTTCTCGTTAGTTCTAGACTAATTCCATAATAATGAACCATTTCAGAACAAAACTCCAATAATTTACAATTCTGTACTATTTTAAATTTGAGCCAGCACGACACTCGACGAAAGTGTATCACCTCTTTGAAGGTGGCAAGACCAAATTGGCAGAATCGAAACGCACCTATCAAATTTTATAGTATTTATTTTGTGCTAGTATATGCAATTAATAAAAATTTTGTACCTCGTGCCATTCTGAAAAAAATCGTGGCGCTGCTACTTTCATATTATTACGTCTTGGACAAGAATATGTGTCGAGTTAGATTTACGTTTCTGCTTGAATTTAACGCGCTTTTAGTTATTTTGAGCTAGTAAATGTTTTGAGATAATGAAAGAGGAATAATGTTTTAGTTCCTTGTCTCGTAAAAAGGCTGGTTGCAGTTGGATTCTTTAGGTTTTGTTGTTAATATATATAAGTCGGTAGGTAAATTATCTTTACTTTCAGATATATATATATATATGTATTATGAATTCTTTGTATTAGCTTTACAATGGTTGGTTTTCTTACAACTGATACGTGGTTAACCAAAGAAGAAATTTTTGAAGAGAGACTCACGTGAACTTGCTCGCAGCTCGTTTTCTGGGCTTTTCTGTCGGTGAGGATTTCCGATTGAAATGTTCTAGATTTGTACAGCGAAGCACTACACGTTTTAAGAATAGACCTTTTCGATTCTTTGACGTGATGGTTCTGACGACTTGACCGTTTTCCTTCTTGAATATGAAGTGGCCGCGCGAGCGTCTAGCCGCGGTTTTTATAGGCGCAGTCTCCCCACTACGAGCATAAGTTGAGCGTCTTTTTGGACTTACAATATATAGTTTGTAGTATAAAAAAATGTAAGGTACTTATACTCTAACTCCTAAAATTACGACTCCTAAAACTATTTATAATTAAGCGTAATATATATATAGTTTCAGTTGTTTCGTTATTAATTAATTTACTGAATAAAATTGTGTTATGGAGGAAGGAAAGCATCATAGCTTGTTTTCTTTCTAATGATTTAAAGTTTTAGAATTTTCCTAACTAATAGAATGTATTGTTTTGCATGATTCCATTCGGACATGGTAAGTATTATAATTGGCGGCAGCAAAAGCAAAATTTTATAAATCTAAAGTAAGTATGTGTATACAATTTTGATTCTAGTATTTGAATGGTTATACATATATGTTTTGATTTTTTAAATAAAGTGGAAATTTTAAATAAAATGGAAAGTTATTTAATTCATAAGAACATTTAATAAAAGAATCTATAGGATGGGAAAGAACATGATGAAATCTCTGTTTCGGGTGTTTGTTTAGGAAGGTTCTAGAGGTACAAGGGTCGTTTATTGCTATATTTTATGGCATAGGCGAGTTCCGATAAGCTGACGTGTCCGAATGGAATTTGTTTCAACCTCGAAGACAACTGAATTTCTATTTTATTCATACAAGGGGAGGACGCATCGACCGGGAAATCCAATTTACGCTCAAGAGTAAAGTGCCACTTGTAATAAGCAGAGTCGAGTTGCGACTTTTGCAATAAATACCGCTTATTTTGTGCTACTAAAATATGTAATTGCAGATTTTGTACCCGCGTCATTTCTTCAGAAAACATCACAGACCCAGTTTATTCTCAAGAGTAAAGTGCCACTTGTGATGAGCAGAATCGAGTCGCGACTTTTGTAATAAATACCGCTTATTTTGTGCTACTAAAATATATAATTCCAGATTTTGTACCCGCGGCATTTCTTCAGAAACCATCACATACCCAACTTACGCTCAGAAGTAAAGTGCCAATTGTAATGAGCAGAATCGAGTTGCGACTTTAGCAATAAATATCGCTTATTTTGTGCTAAGATATGTAATTGCAGATTTTGTACCCACTGCATTTGTTCAGAAACCATCACAGACCCAGTTTACGCTCAAGAGTAAAGTGCCACTTGTAATGAGCAGAGTCGAGTCGCGACTTTTGCAATAAATACCGCTTATTTTGTGCTACTAAAATATGTAATTGCAGATTTTGTACCCGCTGCATTTCCTCAGAAACCATCACAGACCCAGCTTACGCTCAAAAGTAAAGTGCCACTTTTTTTCAAAATATCAAATTTTCTTTTATGGAATAAATTAGCACAAATTATGCTCTTTCTATTTATGTACTTGTTTTTATTTTTTAATTATTTTTTGCTGGGGTTCTGCTGACTTCATATGAAGGTAGCAACACTACGATTTTTTTCAAAATGGCACGGGGTAGAAAATTTTTATTAATTTTTATTAATTAAGCACAAATTAGCACAAAATAAGTACTAAAAAATTTAATAGGTGCGTTTCGATCCTGCCAGCTTCAAGGAGGTAAGTGTACCGTGCTAATGACTTTCTGCATTTCTGATGGTAGTTTTAACTTGTTCTACTCGAGTTCCATACAATTCAACAAGTTTTAGCAGTTGTTCTGTCGTATAACTATTTGTAAATAAATTTTATCTTTTGGCGTCAGCACGATATTCAGTGAAAGTATGTCGCGCTGAGGACTTTCTGCACTTCTGATAGCAGTTCTAGCTTGTTTTAATCGAGTTCTATACAATTTAACCAATTTCAGCTTTCTTTGCGCCGTATAACTATTTGTAAATTAATTTTAACTTTTGACATCAGCCTTCCTCCTTCCCCTCGTCACTCGACAAAACTCTGAGAAAATGTTTGGTTCTGTGACTTCCGACGTTTTTGATACATTATATCTCTCAAGTTTAATTTGGCTGATTGTAATAAGAGATTGTGAATTAACCCTAGACATACAGTGTCGTGCAGGCGCCAGAAGATAAAATTTATTTAAAAATAGTTATACAACGGAACAATTGCTAAAACTGGTTAAATTATATGAAACTCGAATAGAACAAGCTAAAACTACCATCAGAAATGCAGAAAGTCGTCAGCACGACACATTTTCGTCGAGTGTCGTGCTGGCTTAAATATTTAAAATAGTATAAAATTGTTAATTGTTGGAGTTTGGTTCCGAAATGGTTCATTATTATAGAACTAGTCTAGGACTACGAAAACTCTCGTCGAAAAGTATATTATGCATTTGCTTCTTGTATTTTAGAGAAGGCTGTGTCATGCTGGAACGTGAAGTTAGCACGACATTTCTTCATTTCCGATTTTTTGGTATTATAAATGCGGAACTTTTTTTTCTTTTTATCAGGAATTACAGAACTATGAAAAGTGCTACTGGAACTAGTATTGTTTTTTTTTTAATTAAAACGTCGTGCTAACTTCACAGACACTCTCTCGGGCCACAGCGCGGCCCAATCGATCTAGCAACTGTTGACGGCGTGCGGTGAGACATAGATGCGCCGAAATAAAAGACGAATAGTTGCATGTTGTCTTCTCTTGCCGCGCACCGGCAACAGTTGCTAAATCGGCTAGGCTGCGCTCTTATCGAAATGGCTGCAACGCTTCTCCAATCATTTATGTCGGTACGCTCCTACTTCTCAGATCTCTATCTTTAATAACTAGATAATTATTACGAATCTCTCGCAAAACAGTATGGGACTTTTATGTTTGTATTAACCCGCTGTATGTTTCCACGAGCTTTGCAACATTAGTTATGAGACATTCTGTATAATCTTATTTATAAGAGTGACGAGAAAACGTTGGTCTCTAATTATAAGCTTACTAGCATTCACAACATAATATCTAAGATATTTAAAAGTATTATTTCCAATAAATTGATATTATGGTCTTAAAATATTTTGTCACAGCTTGAGGTGGAATTGCAAATGGAAGCAATATACATAGATTTCAATGAGGCTTCTGATTCGATAGATCACTCGATTTTTCTGTGCAAATTGCGTACAATTTGTATTCATGATAAATTATTATCATAATTGCGCAGCTTTATTGTCAATAGAATTCAAGAAGTAAAGTTTAATAACCATTGCTCTAAGGACATTATTATCCGTTCTGGTATATCGCAGGTTTCCCATCCAGGACTGTTATTATAATATAATATAAACTTCTCCAGCCTTCCTATAATCTTCCTATTTATCTTCTTTTCCTTCAGAATCTCCCATAACTTCTTTCTGTCTATGTTGTCGAAAGCCACCTTAAAATCCACGAACATTGCGTATATTTCCCTATCTTTTTTATTATTCTTTTCTCTTTGCACTATATGATTTAGTACGAAGATGTTATCCAATATTCCTCTTCCTCTTCTAAATCCTCCCTGGCTTTCAGGTAGTAATTCCTTTGCTTCCACTTCCTCCTCCAATCTCCTTCTCAACACCTCAGCATAAATTTTATACGCTGTACATAGTATTGATATCCCTCTATAATTTTCTGCTCTTTCCTTATCTCCTTTCTTGTATATGGGGCAAATCACTTTTTTTGCAATCCTTCGGTATAGATCCTTCCTTCCATATCTACAACAATAATTCCTTAATTCCTTTCCTCATTGCCTGTCCTCCATATTTCCATACCTCCGTCGGTATTTCGTCAATCCCTATTGCCTTCTTCCTTTTGAGTTTATCTATTGCCTCAATAATTTCTTCCTCTTTCAGTTCCTCTTCTCCTTCCTCTTCTTCTTGATTTCCTCCAACCTCGTCTTCTTTTCTTTCTTGTATAAATGTCCTTTCCTCTTTCGTGTTTTCTTCTATCACTTCTAATAATTCCATAAAATATTCCTTCCATCCCTCCTTGTCTATATTATTCTTAACCTGTTTTCTTTTACCTCTTCTCCTGTTTATAAATTCCCATACTTCTCTTTTGTTCCTTAGATTTCTTAACTCTTCTTCTTCCTCTTTTTTCTTCTTTCTTTTCCTATTCTCAACGTGCTTTTTTAAAGTTTTCCTTGCCTCCATGTATTTTTCTCTGCTTATTCTACCTCTTCTCCAGTTTCTAAATTCTCTATGCACCCTCCTTTTCATTTTCATACAGCTCTTGTCCCACCATTCCTTGTGTCCTATTCCTTTCCTTTTCCACTTCCATTCCTCCTTGACTAATGCTTCCCCAATTACCTTCTTCAGAGATAGCCATTTCCGTTCTACCGATTCTTGCTCTTCTTCTAATTCTTCTCCTGTTGTATCTAATATTTTCTCTGTTCCCTTTTTGAAGTTTTCAATTGCTTTCTTATCCCATCTTATCCTTGTTTTTCTTTCTTCTTCTCCCTCTTCTTCCTCTTCTCTGCAGTCTCCGTTTCCTTTTATTTCCACCATCATGGGCATGTGATCCGAGTCCACTCTTTCTCCAACCTTAAATTCTCTCACAATATCCTTACAATTTTCATTGACAATTACATAATCAATTACCGAGCTTCCTCTCACACCTATATATGTAAATTCTCCTTCTTTGTCCCCTTCCGCAGATCCATTCAATATATATCCTCTCCCACTACTTCTAACATATTATACTTTTGCTGTCTTTTCCTTTTATCTTATCCTTGCTCTTTCTTCCTAGCTCTCCCTCCTCCTCTAATCCTCCCTCTTCTCCTATCCTTATATTAAAGTCTCCTCCTATTATTACATTCTTCTCTCTTCCTTCCTCCATTATTTCCTTTATCTTTTTTCCTATCTCCCTCCATCTTTCCGAGTTATATACTGAGATAATTATCATTTCCTTATCCTTGCCTTTACCTTCTATTTCGGAAACCAGTAACCCTTCCTCTTTTTCCTCCCCCAAAATGTTACTTTCTTTTCCCCAATTTTTCCTTCTACCTATCAAAAAACTTCCCTTTGCTCTTCCCCTCTTTTTCTCTCTCTTCGCTGGCCTATATGCCCACCAGTGTGTGTTAGGCAATCTTTCCTTAAACCCTTCCCATCCCTTTTCTTCTAACCATGTCTCACATAAACTGATAAAATCCTTGCCCTTTATCCAGTTCCAAAAATCTTTATCCTGCCTCTGTGTTCCTGCCACATTCCAAAAAATTAGGTTTCTACCCTTCCTCCCCTCCCTCCCTCTTCCCTTCCCTCTCCCCCTTCTTGGATTACATGAAATACTGTCTAATCTCCCTTCCCCCTCCCTTTCTCTTTCCCCCTTTCTTTCTTCCTCTCTTTCTTCTAGTCTCTCCTCTCTACCCCCCTCTTCTCTCTCTCCTATTCCTCTCTCTCTCTCCATCTCTTTCCTCCTTTTCTCTTCTCCTATCCTCTTCCTCCCTTAATGCTTCTTTCATCTCCCTTTCCTTTAGTTCCCTTAATTCTCTATCTCTGTCCCTTTCTTTTCTTCTAATTATTTCTTCTTCTATTTCTTCCCATTTTTCCCAATTTCCATCAATCATCACTCTCGCAAAACCCATTTTCACCGTCTTTCCTTTCCTCCTCTCCTTCCCCACCCATTTGCCCATTTTCTCTTGTATCTTTCTTTCCTCCCACATCAAGTCGTTCTCAATAAAAATACTTTTACCTTTCAGTTTCCTCTTATTTCTCATTATCTCCCTCTTCATCTCCTCTTCCTCCAGACTTACCACTACCACTTTCCCACTTATTCTACATCTCTTCACTTTTATTTCCACATCCAATTCTTTTTTTATAAATTCTTCTGCCTTTTTATTCGTTATTCTGTCTCCTATCTCCCATCCTTTTATTACAACATTACCTCTCCTCTCCTCCTTTTCCTTTTCTACCACTAATTTCTTTATCTTTCCTATTTCCCTTTCACTCAGGCATTCATTTAACCTAGCCACACTTCTTATCGAACCATACCTACTACTCAATCTCGTTCTGCTGCTTAGCCTACTAGACTCCGCTTTACTTTCCCATTCCTCTCTATTTTCTCCTTCTCTTTCACTCATCTCTCCTTGCTTACTTTCTTTTATAAATCTTTCCGCAATTATCTTCTAATTTCTTCATCCTACTCTCTATCTCCTTCTTCCATTCCGTTATTACCTATCTCAACTCCTTCCTTATCTCCTCTCTAACCTCCTCGTCTCCTAATCCATGCGTACCCCTGAAACTCACCTTCCTCTCTTGATCTCCTTTCTCTATCACCAATTTTCCTTGCTTATCATCCACTCCTCCCTTGCCTCCCCTTACCCCCTTTCCTCCTCTCCCTGTACTCATATCTCCGCTCCGTCTACCTAATCTCTCCGCACTATTCACTTCCTATTCTGCCCCTTCTCTACTTATTCCTTATTCCCTCTATCCGCCTTTATTCTTGTCGCTATCTTACCTCCTTCTACTTCATTTCCTACCTTCCTACTTTACTCCCCTATCTTACTTATTTTACAATCTCTATTTTTCTCTCTCTCTCACGCAAACTCACGCAACTATACACTCGTACGCCATCTAACCAAGTCCCCAGGACTGTTATTATTCAATTTATTTATTAATAATGAACCTGTGAGAGAGCAACTAAAGCAATTGAAATAACTGACTTCGGTAAAAAATAAGTAAAATACAAGTGAATATCGTCACACATATGAACCGAAAAGAAACGATCACGGACTGAAGCAAGTTTTTGATGGCCAACTCAAAGTTGAAATACATAGAAAAAAAGCGGTGTGTTCCCAATAGTTAAAAACATTGTGAAGCGGTTCTTCTCGGTAGCCTAGTTTAAGATTGGATCAAATAACTTTTGATTGTGGTTTCGCACTTTAGATTAAATTTAATTCAATATCAACTTTGAGTTTAAATTAGTTGAGCATCATAGAACTGGAGAAGTGGAATATTTCACACTAATTTTTACATATCTTTGTTAAATATAAGTAATTCAGGTCTTGCACATTTGTTTACACATGCTGCTATCCTTTATTAAATAGTACAAAGTTCTCCTAAGAAATTGTAATAGTCATGGTTGCGCGCAGTAATGTCATGAAACGACTAGCAAGTGGGAGATTTGCTTTGAATGCCAAGTTCATTAAATGCGATAAATGATTATTTAAAAGGACTAATACGATAAAGATATTGCCGCATTGGGACATCACCGAAATAATTGCACTGGCAAGTAAACCGTCGGAACTGTCCCTCACCAATTTGGATGGGCTTTGGATATGTTGTAAAGCAGCAAAAAATAATTAGGTTATATTTTTTTATCTGCGTATCTCGACGTTTAGGAGTTAAAAACACCCCTCGAAAATAACGGATACTTTCGTTTTTTGGGAATATGTTCTAAACTATAAGATGTATGAAAAAATGACCAGATAAAAGTTTAATGGTATTTTATGCTCTATGTAATGGTATATTTAGATTTTCGAAAAATATCAAATTTTTTAATTTACCCCTCCCCCCTCCATTATAATTTTTGCCAATTTAAAAATTTTTGTAAAGACAAAAATTAAAGAGCTTAAAAAGATAAATTCATTCATATATAATAATATTATATTTGACCGATTACATTTTTAGAAAAATGCATTTGAAACTTCGTATTATAGGAATTGCGCTGCGTTACATTGCGCTATAGGCTTACATACTGTGTTATTTCTTTTCTGCATGATGTTTACACAAACAATAACTGCATTTTCTGCGTATTGTAAATGAACAAAAATTATTATTAATTACATCATATGTAATGTATTATGTAACATTATATGGCATTTGATAAATTATGCTGCGTGAGAATGGAAATGTACTTGGGGGTGCTATTGCGTGAGTGAGTCTTAGAATAAGAAACATATACAGATACACACAGAGAAACATACTGAATATATATAGAACAGTTATTGAACAAGATTTAAAATGAGACTTGATATAACTCGTCGAGAGTGACACAAACATTACATATGTATAAATAATGCATATGCATAGCGTATTTATGGTACATATTCATCGTAAAGATGATGTTCATAGAAAAATGTGTTACACAAAGAGATTTCTTATACCAAGAACATATAATTATTGCAGTTTGGCCGCAAATGTCGCAATATATTTTTGTATTACTTTTGAAACAGAACTCGACAGGTGTTTGAAACTCTGTCGGTTTATTTTGCATATATCCACTTTTAAACCATGCGTATTTAAATAGATTTCGAAATCTAGGTGATGAGAACTGATTATGCGTTAATGATTGCAATTTAAGTATATTATTTCTGGAATGAAAATCTATTACAAGATCTAACAATATAACCATATCTGAAAAGTATTTAATAAAAATTTTCCACATTCGAAATCCGTACACATCTAATGGCTGTACTTTTTCCGTTGTGCCAGCCGAAATAGTTAGTAAAACAATATCTGTTGCAAATTCTGATCTAGTTTCTGCAATAATATTAGGACACTGACCAGTCCATGAGTCTAGTAGTAAAACTGATTTCGCTACAACATTTAGAAAATATACATCTTTTAACCAAGTTTTTACATATTGCGATGTTAATTTGCCTGATTTTGAAGCCATAGTATAAATATTAGGTGCTTTAAATATATTTTCCTGCATATTTTCTTGGACCAAATATTCCACCAACTTCTTTTAATACTATAGAAAGAGGCGACAATAATCTACCATCAGCGGTGATGGTCGGCTATATAGTGTAACTATGCGTGGTTGATGATATTGACTATACTACAGTTTGTACCTTTTTTGTACCTTTGCGCGCTAGAGTACAACCGGCATGAAATTCTAATTGGAATCTGCTTTGATCTGAATTATAAATATTTTCGAGTCCATATTGACCGATGTAATATTTTACATTTGTAATGAATGTTACGCATTTATTTTCTGGATCTATTTCTGATAACATAGACTTTTAATAACAAATTTTATTATTTTCCGTGATACAATATTATGCATAAGTTTAAATCTTCTCACCCATATCTCTGAAGCTGTGAATCCTGGTGCATTTTCTTCTTCTTGTGCTCGGACAGCCCATCGTGCGTTATCAATATCGTGAATAATTATTCCTTTCTCAAGTGCTTCATTGAAACAATTTATTACGTAATCGGAAATTCGTCTTAATTTTTCACTTCTAGTACTACCTTGATTGATTTCTTTTTCCCATCGTCGTAATTGTCGTATTGATGCAACTTTCCGAAATCTTTGTCTCACTCCTTCTAACGATCTCCGTTTCGTTTTACCGCTCTTCTAGTATTCCACGGCACTCCTTTTATATTCCATTGGTAATGCTTCTGTAGAATATAATACTTCTTCCGGTAAATACTCTATTTTTTCATGACTTTGAAGTAAGTCAACTGCTTCAACTTCGGAGGTCTCATATGGATCATAAAAATCTAGAGATATTTCTTCTCCTATTTCTAATACTTTTTCATTACTTATTTCTTGTAACATGTGTTCAATTTTCTCTTTTACTTCCCGTTCCTCCAAAGTTATCGGACTCTGAGGAATATTTAATGCAGTAAAAGTCACATACAATAACATTATTACATTTAATGGATTAAATGGCGTCATTCTAAAAAAAATTACTAATTAAATATCTGTTCCAAACTATGATTATGTAAAACATATTGCGTACTTTATATTTAATGAAGCAATCTCTTTATGTTAGTTATATGATATTCCTTTCTTTCTTGATAGAAAATGTGATTTGAGTCCAAAATAAACCACTGAATCGTGAGAAAGCAATTAATAATTCAACGTCTCTCTAATATGGACACAGGAAGTAGTCCTACAAAATATGTAACAATGAAAAAAGTATTCTAAAATATGAAGCATGGAAATTCAAATATTACATAGGCTGAAAAGATTCAAATATTACATAGGCTGAAAAGAATTGTAGAAATTTGCTTAAGTTTATTAGAATGTAAATAACTTTGTTGAATTGTTGAATTAATATTGACGCGTTACGTGTTGGATTATTTTATGTGATTATTTTATATAATATGCACACCACAGTACAAAAACTGTACATATAAAACTGCACAATAAAACAATTATTTGCTAATTTATAAAATTAGAATAAAATGTAATTTAAAATTATTATAAAATATTTATACGTTTACCAATCACATTACCAATAGATATAGTGTTACGTGATGGACACGCTCGCAACGGATGAGCGATTCGGACAACGTCAAAGTTAAGTTTTGAACTGATAATATTCCACATCACGGATGTTTATATACACTTCTTGCGTTCACAGCTCCATCATGTTGCACACGATACTATTGTTTGTGTCACAATTCTATATCAATATACGAGTGTTATTTTTATTTTCAATTGTGTATCGAAATCAGGCCACTTGGCAATACTTCGTGAAATTTTGCCAGCAATCGTATATAATAGCACAATGATTTACATTTTTAACTTCAGTCTCAACTTTTCTTACATTTATGTCTCAATATATTTATGCTAATAAAAGCAGAATTAACAGAAGATATTGCTATTTAATATACTATATGATATTATTAAATATACTATATGAGAATTGAGTCAGTCTCGACGAGTTATATCGAGTCTCATTTTAAATCTCGTTAAACAACTGCGTGTGTTACAGGATGAAGACGAGCCAATAGGAGCCAACGCCTGGAAGTTAGTCGCGCAATTATTTTTACGAGTTGGCTAGATCATCCTCCGATCTTGTCTCAGTTGGCTCAATCACTCCGACCTTGCCTTAGTTGGCCGGATCATCCTCCGATCTTGCCTTAGTTGGCCGGATCATCCTACGACCTTGTCTTAGTTGGCCGGATCATCCTCCGATCTTGCCTTAGTTGGCTAGATATCTTACTTTAAAAAACTCGATAACTTCGGAACAGCTTATTCAAATTGAATAAAACTATAATGCTTTGAAAAGGTCTGAAGAAGGGCTATAAGAATATGCAATAAAAAGTTGGGGGTTTCACTTAAAAAATCCGAAGTGACCTTGTCCTGATCTTGATGACGCCACCCAAGGTCAAATTGTTAAGATCGGTAAATAGATCTTTTTCAACGTTATAACTTTTGTCTGAAATATTTTTTTATAAAGTATATATTTTTCGAAATTTTCAGAGGTCTCGGGGTTTTTTCTTCACCCTGTATATTCAGTATGTTTCTCTGTGTGTATCTGTATACATTTCATATTCCAAGCTCACTCATGCAATAGCGACACCAAATACGTTTCCATTCTCACGCAGCATAATTTATCAAATGCCATATATATAATGTTATATAATACGTTACATATGATGTATTAGGTGTACAACTTTGCTTCCGCCGTTTTCCTATAGATGGCTTTAGCAGTAAGTAGTGGTCGAAATAAATAGATCATAGACGTTATGCAATAAACTTGGGCAGCTGTCAACATAACCCTATAAAAACATTAGTCAATTTGTGTCTGCATCATAAAGTTATTCTCGATTGAAAATGTCAGTTTATGAGCTATGTTCTCGTCATTTGCGAGAGGTTTTAATTTTCTGCTTCAATATGAAGAAATCTGCAGCTGAGGCTCATCGAAAGCTCTCAAATACTTATGGTGAGGCCGCTATTAGTGAAAGAACGTGTCGTGAGTGTTTCAACGCTTCAAGAACAGTGATTTTCACTTCGAAGACCGACATAGCGGTGGAAGATAGAAGGTTTTCGAAGATGCAGAATTGGAGGCATTATTTAATGAAGACTTGTGTCAAAGTCAAGAAGAATTGGCACGATCATTGGAAGTGACTCAACAAGCAATTTCAAAACGCCTCAAAGACATGGGAATGATTCAAAAGCGAGGAAATTGGGTGCCGTACGAGTTGAAACAGAGAAATGTTGAACGGCGTTTGTTTGCTTGTGAACAGTTACTTGAAAGGCAAAGACGAAAGGGATTTCTGCATCGCATTGTGACTGGGGACGAAAAATTGGTTCATTACGATAACCCCAAGCGCAGAAAATCATGGGGATATCCCGGCCGTGCTTCCACGTCGACGGCCAAACCGAATATTCATGGCTCCAAAGTCATGTTCTGTATTTGGTGGGACCAGCTCGGCGTAGTGTATTATGAGCTGTTAAAACCGACTGAAATAATCACAGGCGATCGTTATCGAACGCAATTAATGCGTTTGAGCCGAGCATTGAAAGACAAACGGCCGCAATACAACGAGAGACACGATAAAGTGATTTTGCAGCATGACAATGCTCGACCCCATGTTGCGAAAGTAGTCAAGACAAACTTGAAAACGTTGAAATGGAAAGTCCTACCCCACTCGCCGTATTCTCCAGACGTTGCTCCCTCTGACTATCACTTGTTTCGATCAATGGCACACGGCCTGGTTGACCAGCACTTCCGGTCTTATAAAGAAGTAAGAAATTGAATCGATTCGTGAATCGCTTCAAAAGATGACCAGTTTTTTCAACGCGGGATTCGTACGCTGCCCGAAAGAGAAAGTAGTGGCCAGCGATGGACAATACTTTGAATCATAAATGTATAACCAGTTTTTTACAATAAAGCCTCGAATTTCGGAAAAAAACGGCGGAAGCAAAGTTGTACACCTAATAATTAATAATAATTTTTGTTCATTTACAATACGCAGAAGATGCAGTTATTATTTGTGTAAACATCATGCAGAAAAGAAATAACATAGTATGTAAGCCTATAGCGCAATGCACGCTATAACGTAGCGCAATTCCTATAATACGAAGTTTCAAATGCGTTTTTCTAAAAATGTAATCGGTCAAATATAATATATAATAAAATATAATATAATATTATTATATATGAATGAATCTGTCTTTTTAAGTTCTTTAATTTTTGTCCTTACAAAAATTTTAAAATTGGCAAAAATTATAATGAAGGCGGGGAGGGGTAAATTAAAAAATTTGATATTTTTCGAAAATCTAAATATACCATTATATAGAGCATAAAATACCATTAAACTTTTATCTGATCATTTTTCATACATCTCATAGTTTAGAACATATTCCTAAAAAACGAAAAAATCCGTTATTTTCGAGGGGTGTTTTCAACCCCTAAACGTCGAGATATGCAGATAAAAAATATGACCTAATTATTTTTTGCTGCTCTACAACATATCCAAAGCCCATCCAAATTGGCGAGGCACAGTTCCGACGGTTTACTTGTGAGTTTGAAAGAGGCTACGTAGAAAAATAAATATTATCTCGAGCTAAAAAAATGGTATTTTCATTGAAAAGTTACTCAAGACAATTTTTCAATTCCTGCATACAAAATCTGTTTAAAAAGTACAAGAATTTTATTTTTCAATTTCTGGAGATATACCTAGATATACCTCTGTAACCTAGGAACTCTTATTTCCTTCAAAATACTCTTCTTCTCTTTTGATGCACTGCGTTTAACGCATTTGCCATTTCTGGAAACAATCCTGGTAGGCTTCTTTCGGGATAGCGAGCAGGTCTGCGATTTTCTTTAATGTTCTTAATCGTCTGAAATCGTCGTCCAAAATTATTACCTCAGGGATAAACTGTAAGTCTCTGTTAGTATCAGAAAGTGCTGGAACGTTTGAAAGAAAATCTCTGATAACGATTTGCACGCCCTTTTGTTCTCACGTTTATCATTGCGCGTCGAATGCCCAGCGTTACCACTGTCGCGGATCCTCGCGCAGTTTCGGGATCTTTCGGCTCTACGGTCGATCCTGTTTTGTCACGTGGCTCCCGAAAAGGAGGCATTCATCCGCTAGCTGCCAGAGCGGCAACTCGTTATACAGGGTGTTTGAAAGCTTATCATGCAGACGAAAGTTGGAGATAGATAAGGTGTAGCCGAGAAGAAGAGTCATGTACTATAATGTCAAATTGGCAATAGTTACCGAGTTATTAATTACAACATGTGAGCCAACAAGCGCGTAGAGAGCGGAGGGCGGCCGCAGTAAGCAAGTACACATTGATACAGGTGGAGTAAGCGAGCGGCAGTAGGCGAGCGTGCGCGGCGAGGGGCAACGTAATCGATAAGAGGCGAGCGCGAACGACGAGGAGCGAGCGAGCGTAAGAGACGAGCGAGCGCGCGCGGCAAGCTATAAGGCAAAAATATGTCATCGCGCCGTCCCTTCTTATCAGAGGCGATAGGAAACTGATGTGCTATTATTTCTACACCACCTTGCAGTAGATAGCTTGGTGCGTTTTTTATAGTGGTTTTCCCGGTAAGCCTATCTACTCTTACAATCTAATGTAAGAATTGTTCGAAGTGCCATCCTCTCTCTCGTATACAGAGTTCGGCCCTTCATACAATATTGCGCGTCGCACGGTGCGCCATGTCCGGCGTAATAGTATCGAAGGCCTCAACAATAGCTTCATGTACCTCGTTTTCTGTACCATTACGCTGATGCTCGATTAGACTTTTTATATGACCCCATACAAAAAAGTTTTATACATTTAAATCTGGCGACCGTGCCGGCCAGATAACATAGGTCTACAAGGTTTTGTTGTTGGGTAGCTGGGGGTCGTTTCCCAAGTAATTTTCTGCGTAGAATCCGAATCCGAGGTCAGAATTGGCCCATCACGTCAGGATTTTGAGATATTTGAGGTTATATGCTCGAAAAATGGCTTGTTGGACTACTTTTGAGGTTATGTATAGGACGCACAAAATTTTTTTAGCTCCTTTTTCTAATTGCATCATTTAGTACTACTCTTTCCCCTCAAAATGAGCTGTCGGATGGTCATCTATGATTTTTCCTTTCAAAGTTACGGCAATTTTAAAATAACATGATGAATTCCAAACCCTGCGCCGTTATAGTCCAACAACCTCATGAGCATTCACATTAAACTTGTAAACTTTGAACTATAAACCCGAAAACCTGGACTGAAAACTGTATATATAGGTTTTTGGGCCTATTATAATAGAACCTATTATATAATTATATTAGGACCTGTTATAACAGATTTGTGGTCGATCTGAGATCAGATTCATAATCAGCAACCCCAAAAACCCATATATACAGTTTTCAGTCCAGGTTTTCGGGTTTATAGTTCAAAGTTTACAAGTTTAATGTGAATGCTCATGAGGTTGTTGGACTATAACGGCGCAGGATTTGGAATTCGTCATGTTATTTTAAAATGGCCATAACTTTGCAAGCAAAAATCGTAGATGACCATTCAACAGCTCATTTTGAAGGGAAAGAGTAGTACTAAATGATGCAAATAGAAGAAAGGAGCAAA